CCATAGTAGTCTCAGGGACGCGTGTGAGCAGTGTTTGGGTCGACTGCCGAACAATCATTAACACTTGCTCTTACACAGTAATCTGGGACATAGACGTACAGGGTCGAGCACATCATGCCATTGTGTTGTCTTACTGTCGACGAAGGCGCCGCCAATGAAATTCTTGGTGTTACCTCCAGTTGCACTAGTACCCAGCCAAGTCGCGCTGAGATTCTCTGCCTTGGGACGTGCGAGGGCATTTAAGCCTGCTGTCGTAGCATAAGAGCGCGATGGACTACGGAGAGGAATACGAGCAAGACGAGAGATCGACATGACGGACGGATCCAACGGGAAGGCAGACCGAGTGCAGCTCTCGGAGTCTCAAGTACTTTACGGTGCCCCGCGATGATCTCACGTGACAATAGCACGTGACAAAGACACGTGGATTTGAGTACTTTCAAATTGTGAGCTCGTCAGGGTGAACTCATCTTCTCGCTGTCGCGTACGTCCTAAATGAACGCCCCAATACCGAATGGATTGCCTGCTCACCACACCGGTCGACCTCAAGATCAGTTCTACAACCAGAGCATGACAGGCATCCTCAACCATCAAAACTGGCCGTCGATGAGCCAGAACCAATATCCTCACCAACCCCAGAATCATCAATGGCAACAGCATCAGCAAAGCATGCAGATTAATGGTCGTCATACGGCCCAGCAGCAACAGCCAAATTGTAACGTGCCAGTTGCACCGAACGTGAACTCAATTCAGCACGCGTTCCCCAATCCGAGTTTTGATCTCGCGTCTGTCGTCCCACAGCAACTCATGCAGGACTTTCTTCGCCTAACAATTCCAGTCGGCCAGTCACCTAACGACGATTCCATCCTCGCTCAAGCTCTTTTCGACTGCAAGCAGTCCGGGAAGACGTACAGACAAGCTTTGGAGGGGTTACATGGTGTGCGTGTCATCTCTACTAAATCGTAACGTGCACATGCATTAATCACACTCCCTTAGGTCAATAATCACGCTGCCAACCTTTGGAAAGACTATTACCTCGACCACCACGACCGCTTCGATGTCCTCGTCGCTCGTCTAGCAGAAAAAAGCCAAACATCAAATGCAGTCAAAAAACCTTTCAATTCCAGCCGCGCATCTACCTCTACCACAAAGTCTGCTTCCCCTCTAAACAATCGCGATCGTGACTCGCGAAAAAGACAGTCTTCACCTTCCCCACCACTCCGACAAAGTCGACCCCCCAAACGCTCTACACCTACCGCCATCAGCACAACTCAGTCCCTAGGCTACCGTCCCCCAAAACGCCCCAGAGCCACCCTCAACTCCCTCTCTGCACCTCTCCTCCCAACGAACCTTCCCTCCAAGCTTATGCCGCTTCAAGCAGATATCACTTTACCCCGTCCACCGTCACGAAGCCCTACGCCCCCAACAAGAATCGAAGCTGGGACAAATGGGAACAGGTATACAGAGGAGGATCGCGCGTATTTCTTGAAATTTATCAGTTGGAGGCTGAGTCAGGATGCGAGCCTGACGAAGAAAGAGTTATGTGCGATGTTGAATGAAAAGGTGGGGAGTTGTGGTTGAACACGTGTTCAATATTGACCCTGTACAGGCCCCACATCATAGCGCACCTTCCTGGGCATCTCACTGGCATGCCAGACATGACATTGCAGACAAGATCCTGCACTCCTTTCAGGGCGACGAGGATGAGGACGAAGATGAGGAGGAAGACGAAGAAGACGAAGAAAACTCAGACTCTCCAAACGCACTATCCGATGCGGTTGAAGACTCAGAAACTGAAGTCATTCGCCAGACCACATCCATACTTCGTCGCACAAAATCGGCTGCTCGTGTCCCAAACACTAAGATGGCTGCACCCAAACTGGGCGTCTCTTCCTCGCAACCCTCCCCTTCTCCCTCGTGTGGCAATCACGATGCCTCCGCCACGACAGATAATGACGAAGCAGACATGGGAGCAATTGGTGGTTCGTTCACACCTGCGGATTGGAGGATTATAGCCAGGTATGTTGCGCGCACTCCGGGGTGGAATGACATGGTAGGTCGGGAAAGATGGGAAGGCTTTCTTGAAAAGGTGAGTACTATCAAATTATATATGCTGAATTTGGTGGATTGATCGTGTGCATTTGATGGTGTAGTTCCCGGATAGCGAGAGATCAGAAAAATCATGGGGTGAATTCTACAGGAGGAACGAAGATGGTGAGCACCTTCCTCTCGCATGTATGCCCTGAGGTTGTCTCTCATTTCACATAGCCATCATGTCCCTGGCAGCCCACTACAAAGGTACAAAGTGGTCGAGTAATACTAGTATCAAAATGCAGCAAGGGCAGCCGAGTTGGGCACGCAACCGGGGGCGGCAAGGCACAGAAGGAACAGAGGAAAAAGGATCAGATGAAGATGGCGATTATGAAACAGACGATGGAGAAAGGTAGGGGATATGCGGCAGAGAAGTTTTGCCTGTAGTCTATATAGGATGATATGCCGGTCGATATTTTGACCTTGGCAAGGTACCATACTTTTTTTTTGGTAATGATCTTTTGCAAATCTCATATGACTCATCTACGCCTATGCATTCCTCTCTCAATCTGAGCTGTGATGCTCGAGTACGCTGTGGTGTACTTGATAATCAACTATTAAGTAATATAGGGGACAGCATTAGTGATGTTTTAATTTTGGACGGTTACTGTGCATTGTGCAATGTGCGTCTATGTCTTTTCGCACAACCAACACTTCATGACAATCGCCTCAAACTGAGCTCTCATGGATCAAGGGATCCGGAACAGTTCTTCTGGCGAGACAACAGTCCATTCAAACGAGGAAAGATCAAAGTCTGAGGCAGGGACCTCAGAGCAAGGCCTCTATGGTCCAGACTCATTACTAGTAGGGGCCTCACCTCATCCACCACCACCCTCCACTCGTTTCTCGAGACTCGCTGATTCATTTAGAGCACGATCTCCTCGGTTGTATCATGTTGCTGATCGAGCGGTCAAATACATTCGGGGACCCAGGCCGAAGGTCGATCTTCCGAGTGAGTTTCTATTATTTGAATCACTCACCACCGGTATTCACGATATGCAGACCCTGTGCCCCTCCTTGGTCGCACGTACAACTTCAAAGGCCATCGATTTGCCATCGCACTCGAACCTGCCATCATTCGATTCACTCGTCCACTTACCGTTGCATGGCTTTTCGTCCTCCTCGTAGCAGCATATATCATTTCCTTTTCTTTTTTGGTCCGTGCACAATGGTATACAATCCCTGCAAGCTCTTTTGTCGGTTGTACATCCGTCTTCTGGACAGGAGACGCAGGATGCGGTCTGGACGGTAGCTTGTGCGCGCCGTTCAGTAATTCGTCTTTTGATTTTAGATGCCCGGCGCAATGTAGCAGTGTTGTCCTGCAGAACCCGCGTGTGGTGGGCGATGAATCTGTGGATTTTGTACCGCTACTTGTTGGAGGTGGGGATAGTCAGAAGACTTATAGAGCTGATAGTTTTATCTGCGCTTCTGCCGTTCAGGCGTAAGTTGTCGATCATTCGTTTTATTTTCAACGCTGCGGACTTCACTCACGTGTTTTCTACATAGCGGTTTTTTCAGTGACTCGACAGGAGGTTGTGCATCTGTTAACCTCGTGGGGAATTTCACGAACTATTTACCTACAACTGCTTTCGGACTGTCTTCCATCGGATTTCCCTCTGTATTCCCGATGTCCTTTAGATTCTCACCGTCAGATGTTCTGACTCACTGCACCGACCTCCGCACACCGGCACTCGCCTTCAACATACTTATTACATGTTTTCTCTTCCTCGTATTGCGGCCCAAAGCTATCGTCATGTGGTGGTGCCTCGTCTGCATCGGATTTTGGCACATTGCATTATTCTCCCAGCCCCAAGCGACTCCACCTCCACTGGACGTCGCCTTCGGTGCATTCCTGCCTGCCCTTTTCGTCTGCTATGGTTTCTGGCGCGTTGCTGTGAGGTTTACATTGCCTCTGTTCGCAAGCGCGCCGTTTGAAGCTATGATATGGTACCTTGCACCTTACTGGACTGGTGTTCTTACGAATCTTACCATGGACCAAATTCCTATTGATCGATTGACCGCAGCCGATATCAAGCAACAACCGGGGGGTGTTCTAGCGCTCATCATCATCGTCCTCATCCTTTTCGTCCTGGTGGTCAACCAGATACGTGTTATTCGGAAGACTGGCTGGCTGCCATACTATCTTGGGTGGTACATCATCGGAGGCCTCGTGGCGCTGGTACTGGCGTTGCTGCCTGGCCTGCAGTTCAGACTGCATCATTACATCATCTCGATGGTATTGTTTCCTGGTGTTGGTTTCCCAACGAGGCTTTCAGCGATTTATCAAGGGTTCCTCCTTGGAATGTTCCTTAATGATGTGGCTGCGTTCGGCTTTGACTCGATACTGCAGACCGCTGCTGATGTAATTATGCCCTTTTAACTGTGCATGCCCTCAATAGCTCATGTGGTGTTCAGCTTGTTGACGGCGGGACAACTGGCTCTCCCTTGCCCACTTTCCTCACGAATTCCACCACCTACAACGCCTCCGTTGCTCTCGCGAACCAAACCATTAGCTGGTACGGCATGCCTACAGCCATTGCCACGCAAGGCTGGAATGGCTTCGCATTACTCGTGGATGATGTGGAGGTGTACATGGGCACTGCACTGAACTACTCACTTGCTGCACTAGAAGTTGGCTTGCCACATTTCTTCAGGCTTGCTGTAAGTGCTTTCAAGGGACTTTCTGCGCTGGCTAAAGACTGATGGATTCTTTTGTAGTACGCAATGGAAGGTACACCTGGTGATTTTACGATGCCTGTGACCCTTTGGCCGAATGGAACTTGGGTGAACCCGCTACCCGGAGCTTCGTAGATATTTATGATCATTATTAGCTAGAACATTGTAGTTTTCGGACGCTGTCGTTGCGTAGTAATAGGAGGTTCGGGATTTCCTATCTCGTCATGACCAATATCGTTGGCTTGTCCTCGTGGTTCTCTTGTATTAGCAACGTACACAGTGGAAATACGAAGCTGTTCCGTATGCGGAATATATACGGCTGCTCATCGTAATTGTGGACTGTGCCACTGGAGTCCTGGTCTGTGGACACCAATTGAAGGACATTTATACTGATCTTCCACAGGCTCCGAGGCAGCCCTCACACTTTCTCAATCATCCTATCATCCTCTGAGTACTCTCGATCTGAACCCATGGCACCCCGTTCTTCCAACAAGTTGAATTTTAACAAGAAACGATGTACGTCCTCACCTTGAACGGTACCTAGACGCATGATCATGATCCGCTTATAGATTTTACCCCCGACGGCTCACGCCGCGGTTGGACTTGCAACATTTGCATCCCAAGACGCCCCAATCAATTCCATTTCACGACTATGCAAGCCGCAGTTCGACACGAGAATACATCTCCCGAACACGCGCGGCACATTTCCGAAGTAGAGTGGTGGCAACCACGAAACGATGACGGCTGGGGAACCCTCGAACAGCCTCCGCTAACTTCCGATGGCCTGCGCACATGGGAGATGCAAACGCACGTGGATCATGTGTATGATTTAGTGCCGTTCTGGATCCGTGGGGTAGATGCTGCTGAGAGGGGTGAGGTGCTAAGGATGGAGGAATTCCTGCAGATGATGGAGGAGAATGGCGGATGGCGGACCTCAGATGAGGTTTGGGGGATGTTGGGAGCTTTGAGGAAGCCGAATCATGAAGAAGGGAGCGATGGATGGGGGCGTAAAGATGATGTGTCTGTTCCCAAGGCTCCCACCGGTACGGACTTGACATCGGGCGACCAGGATAAAGGCTGGGGCGTTACGGAGGAATGGGCAGTCCCCCCTACCAATACTAGTAACTCTTCTTCCCACCAGAGACGAGATCTCGGCGGTACGCATCCTTTTGTAGATGACATCGCTCTTCAGGAAGCGGCAGATGAAGATAGGCGCCGAAGGATGAACCACTTTTTTGAAGTGAGTAACCTCCTGCAGGGCTTTGATAGGGCTGCAAGTTATTAAACTATTAATTTTATGCTTTTTACAGATGCCGACGGAACAGAAGGTGTTGAAGATTCAGGAGATGATCCGTTACCTTCGCGCCCATCCTGCCTAGCAGGCACTGCCTTAATGCGCCGTTTCTCGTTGTTGTTAACATGCCCGCATCGTTCGCCGACTCGTTGATGTGAAGTTTTGGTAAGTGGCAAGTCAGCCCTCAGGGGCGACTTGTCAAGTTGAAGCTGAAGGATAGGGAGCGAGCTCTTTGACCCTTGCTCGGGGCGAAGTCAAGTTGTCAAACCAAGGGCTACCAGTGGTTCATAAAACAATAGTATTCCCGTACGTAAATAAGAGACAGTGGTAAGTGTATGGATGCGAAAGTAACGATGTGAAGTTGCGGATCTATGCAATGTATTGATACAGTAGTAGAGTAGAATGAAATGTGCGCAGCTGAGCCAAATATATATGCAGGAGATCATCATCAGCACAATAATCGAAGGAATAAAGTAGTAATGTGCACGAGAGCCTATGTGCACAGGCATCGATCTTTATAAGATCCTTTTCTATAATTATTCGAATCCCTGATTCAAAACGCAGGCAGTGATGCACTTTGATTTCAGTCGCAGGTGGCAGGGCAGTCATTCTATGAATGGAATCAAGGGAAAGGGTCAATAAAAAAAGCATGACAACTTACCGGACGGGTGAATGTTAGCATGTGGTAATCTTTGGCAAAACCAGCGCCCGCATAGGCAAACAGGTATTGCCATTTGCGCTGGAAAGTATCAAATTCGGCCTTGTCTTCTAGACTAGGGTAGTCTTCGACAATCAAGTCTTGTTTGACATTGGCATCAAGACGACGTCCCCATTCGCGCAGCGTCCGTGGGTTAGTCTACACGTACTACACAAGGATTAGTTATTGAGAACGCCATGTAAAACAAAAGCACTTGCGAGCTGCACGATTTCCAACACCCTCGAGCATGAAACGCCCTTCTGAAACCAGTGTTTGCAGCGGTAATGAGCGCTGTGGCACTAGGGAGGTAAGAATTAAGCCACATATATTGGCACATGAAATCCTCAGGCCGAAATCTTTTAGTTAGCATGTGAAGTTTTTTTAGAATGCAAACAACGTGCTGATAGCCAGAGTATCGAAATTCTGGGAATATTGATGCACTAACCACAGCTGTTGCATTGCTGGACTTGAGAGCAAAATCGACATGTTTGAAGTGGCCATGGTACTAGTGCTTAGAGGCCACATGCTATACGACCGAGCGTAAATCATCAAGATGCAAACACTGGCAATTGATTACACACCTCAAGCATCTCGATGGTAAAAGCATGACAGGCCTTCTTGAAAGAAGTAGTAGGAATTTTGCAGTAATCCATGAGATGAACACGAATGACATCTTGCAGACTCGACCAGCCGCCTTAAAGTTAATGCGCTCCTCAGAAAAGGCCTTTTGTTCTTTTGACAAAGTGAAAGTGTCGACTTCGCAGCTAAACGTACGAGCAGCCTGAAAGAAATCAAGTCACAAACACCTCCTTCGGGGGCCGGGGCGCAAGAGTACATGACATCTCTGACTAAGGAAAGCTAAAAATAACACTACGTAGCGATAGATTCCCATTTATGGTTTTTACTTGGCTTTGCTACTGTGTTAGTAACTGTTTCATTAGCCTAGGTACACCGATCTCTGGCTGCCACTGCATGTGACCACAGTTCATCATTGCCATAGGAAACATAGGATCTCTGATCTATAGCGATGTCCTTCAGATTTTGCGGAATGTGCAGGTGTTTGTACTGGGACCACGCCTTATCCGTTGTGCGGCTGCCACCAGTGTTCAAGAAGTCAACGCTAACTTAGCTTCAAGTTGCGACCGGCTCCGGACGAAGCAGAAACCAGCATGACTATTGTCTTCCAGGAGTAGTACAGCCATGTGTTATCATAGAACTGGACATTAACACCTTTGGTGGTTCAGCCTGGGAGCACGAGAAGTTGTGCGAAGCTTTGTTGTGGTAAATATTTGATGTTCCAACGTCGAGCAATACTATGTCTGAACACTTTCACCCATGCTAAGGATGGCACAGATGTTGGGAGATGTAACCCCTCGAAGGATATGGAGAAGCATAGCCGATGGAAACGCGCCAAGACGGCGCTAACGCCACCACTCACGCTCTAGCATCGACCTCATTGAGATTGTCCGGGGACGCGTGCATGTTGTATCGATATCACTACTGAAATCGGTTTACCACTCACATCTTGAAACCGCGTATTGCACGGATACATCTTTACTAGCCGCCCATGCACTGGTTTGGTCATCGACGTTTCAGCTTGCTCGCATACCAGGAATATCGATCACCGCAACACCAGTATCCGCTTCAAGGGCAATATGCAAGAGTGCGGGACCGCACGTTACTATCAGTTCGTTAATATCATATTGTCATGCAGATTGGCCTCGCCATGGGCCCGATCATATTTATTATCCAGTGCACATTCCTCCTCGTGCCTGGGCTCACCCAAATCATGCACTAGTAAAGGGCCTTCGACTCCAAGCATAGCCGCGGTGAATATGGATGACTTGGCCAGCGAGGTGACTCGTCCGTGGTGTAGTTCTCAGCATTATGCATGGCCTGAGTCACACTGGTCTCCCCTATGGTTACGCTTGTGCAGCGCATGGGCGCCGTGCTAAATCCTATGTCAGACTCGGATACATCGCATCGCACTGGCGTGCAAGACATGCATAAAGGCTACCATTCGTCTTCGTGAGACCCTACAAAGATTTTCCAAGCCACATTATTATTTGTTCTTCCTGATTCTTCACGATGCGCTTCTCAACTGTTGTTATTGTATTCATTTCAATGATGCTGGGCATCATTGGAGCCAATGCACACCCCATATGTAAGCAAATTGTGAACTTCTTCCCTCCCGAGTCTAATGATGACGCAGTAGTGGTTCGTGGAGCTGATGATATTAGCGCTACGGGCATGCCACCACGACGTGTCGAGCCGTCAATGACTGTAGCTGCAAATGGCCTACCCCCAGCTTGACTGGGAATTTTCTGGACACCGCAATGAATTCTCTTGACAATCATTACTATACCTAGTTTGCGCCATAAACGATATTCCATTTCAATTATAATCCCTACCGAGTCTAGCTAGCTTGGAGAAATCTGCCATTATCACCGTTAGTCCTCATCCCTTACCTAATACATAATCACCGCTCTCAGTAAATGCATCTGCTCCAGTAATTTATTTGTTCTCTTTCGTCGGGAGTTGGGACTTTCTCGCGGATGGCGCCAGATGCTGTGTACAGCAAGGATGCCAGATTCATAAATGATGTGATTACCCCTTGAATTTTGCATTACTATCAGTTGCAATTGGTTATTAGCATCATGGGGCGCGGACGTACTACTTGTAACAGTAGCTTTGCAACGTAGGTTTGATTGTGGATGTATCAATTACTATAGGGCATATTTGAATACCAAATTCCGTTTGGAGCTTCCCGTAACTGTTTTCCTGTGCCACGTTAGACATATACAAGAGTTCGAGCACGTACTATCGTCTCGCTAGCGGACTGTCGTGCCATTTATGTGCCTCGGCTTGAGATCGTCGAAAGGGCTCGACTATCGCCAATTATGCACACCAAGTTTTCCTCCGGTTTGCGCTGAGTGCGAGTGCTCTGCCACAACCCAAACTGTCAGGGGTGTCTGTCAGAGATTAAGGTTACAAGCATGATGGTAAAGAATGCTGGCTTGACAACTTCAAAATGAACTCAGGACCGCAGGCGTGGGCGGTGGCTAGTGGTGCTAGTATCCCCAGAGTATGTGCATGTGCATCAGCATCAACCTTGTAACCTTGTGTCCCGAAACACATAAAAGGCGCGATTTTTCTTCAATCAAACCCAGCAACATTTGCTTCCAAACTTCCGTTCCCTCACAATGCGCATCTCATCTGTTGTTCTTATATCTGTCGGAATGATGCTGACCGTCATTGGAGTTGCTGCCTCCCCAATCGCTGAGGCCTCTGTTGAGAGTGAGTGGAAAATTATGAGCTAGTTCCGGCCCCGAGTCTGAAGATGATGCGGTAGATGTCCAGCGTGAAGTACCAAGAGAACCAGGAAGGGGAGGATATAACAGGGAAGCAAGGGAACCAGGAAGGGGGGGATATAATAGGGAAGCGAGAGAACCACTGGGAAGGGGAGGATATAATAGGGAAGCGAGGGAACCAGGAAGGGGAGGATACAACAAAGAATGAGCATCTTGGACGAATAGTCGAATACCGAATCCTGCTTGGAGGTGCCCATAACCTTAGTGTTCCTTGTGCTGCGTCAGATAATATACATGAATTCGAACACGTACTATCACTTCGTTATGGGATTGTAATGTAAACAATGAGCTTTTGGATCGCTGAAAGGGCCTAACCGTGGCTATCATTGGTTTCGGAGCGCTCGGCCATAACCAAAACTATTTAGAGGCCTTTTCAAGTATGATGGCAAAGCTTGGTGACCTGACAACATCAAAATGCACTCAGGTCTGCAGGAATAGGTGGTGGAGTATTTCATATGGAATGCATTGAGCCTGTAAGCTTGTCGCGAAAAAAAAACATCAAGCAAGTACGGTTCGCCTTCAATCAAACTCAGAAAGATTTTCTTCCAAGTTCCCAGTCCTTTCAAAACCACAATGCATGTCTCATTTGTTTTTGTATCCGTCGCAACGATGCTAAGCATCATGGGAGCTTGTGAGTAGTCGCCTACAATAAACCTGAATCAGTGAGTTAACTCGTGAGGAATTTTCGATCACCAACATAGGAACGTGGTACAAAGACCCCCAAGGGCGACATAGATACAGACTCCAAGCAGAATAAGGAAGCTGGTGGCACAAATGTTCATCCCAGTGATGGCATTGACATTGACAACTGCACTGCCACCAAGCAGTAACATACTCGAGACAATAAGATTGACGACCAGTCCAAAAGTCGCGAACGTGAAGTGTGCTGTATTGCCGTAAACGAACGTGAACAATCTCGAGGAAGGTGTGGCAGTACGACGCGATCTGTTTAACCCTCACAGCGAGAAATAGAATTGCAATAACGTGAACCTAATGATAGCCAGCACCTAAACCATACTGTGGAACTTTGTAAGAGTGTTGCCGCCCAGGTCCATGCCGACACAATGCCAGAAGCAATAAAACCGGGTTTGACGCTGCGTGATGCTGTATTGAACTCCTCGGAAGTGGAGATTTTGTAGGTCGTACAGCGAACTTGAAGGGCTGACAAATCCATCATGATTTGTAAATTGTCTCCAATGTTTAATTGCAACCTCTGGCTGCCACTGCATGTGACCATAGTTCATCAATGCATCATTGCTATAGGAAACATAGGATCTCTAATCTATATTAGTAGCGGTGTCCTTCAATTTCTGTGGAATGCGCAGATTTGTGTACTGAGACCACGCCTTATCCGCTGTACTAGTCAAGAATTCAACTAACTTAATTTGTGACCGGCTCCGAAGTAGAAACCGACATGACTGTTGCCTTCCAGGAGTGGTACACTCATGTGTTATCTTAGAGTGATTTATAGTACTGGACATTAACACTCGTCTGGTAGCTCAGCCTGGGAGCACAAGAAGTTTGTGCGAAGCTTCGTTCTGATAACTATCTGGTGTTTCAACGTTGAGCAATATGTTTGAACACTTGCATCCATGCTAAGGATGGAACAGATATTGGGAGATGTAACCCCTCGGAGGATATGGAGAATCATAGCCAATGGAAATGCGTCAAGATGGCGCTAACGCTCTAGCATCGACCTCATCGTTAATTTATAGATTTTCCAGGGACACATACATGTCGTATCGATAGCATTACTGGAATCGGTTTACCACTTACATTTTGAAACCATGAAGAATAGCATATTGCACGGATACATTTTACTAGCCGCTTTGCTTTGTCCATGTACTGGTTTGGTCATCGACGTTTCAGCTTGCTCGCGTACCAGGAATATCGATCATCGCAACACCAGCATCCGCTTCAAGGGCTGTATCAGGCAATATGCAAGAGTGCAGGCACGCACGGTACTATCAGATTGTCATGCAGATTGCTCGCCATGGGCCCGGCCATATTTATTATCCAGTCTACATTCCTCCTCGTGCCTGGCCTCGCCCAAATTATGCACCTTTGACCAAGCATAGCCGTGGAAAATATGGATGACTTGGCCAGTGAGGTGAGGTGACTCGTCCGCGGTGTAGTTCTCAGCCTGATCACAGTATGCATGGCCCAAGTCACACTGGTCTCCCCTATGGTTACACTCGTGCAGCGCATACCATAATACATGGGCGCCGTGCTAAATCCTATGTCAGTTGCATCGCATCGCACCGGCGTGCAAGACATGCATAAAGGGCACCATTCGTCTTCGTGAGACCCTACAAAGATTTTTCAACTCACATTATTATTTGTTCTTCCTGATTCTTCACGATGCGCATCTCGACTGTTGTTATTGTATTCATTTCAATGATGCTGGGTATCATTGGAGCCAATGCACACCCCACATGTAAGCCTAATTGTGAACTTCTTCCCTCCCGAGTCTAATTATGACGCAGTAGTGGTTCGTGAATCTGTTGGTGTTAGCGCTTCGAGTTTGCCACCTGCCGCGCCGTCAGTGACTGTAGCTGCAAATGGCCTACCCCCAGCTTGACTGGGAATTCTCTTGACAATCATGATAATACTCACTATACGTAGTTTGCGCCATAATCGATATTCCATGTTAATTATAATCCCTACCGAGTCTAGCTAGCTTGGAGAAATCAGCCATTATCATCGATAGTCCTTATCCCTTACCTAATACACGATCACCGCTCTTAGTAAATACTCCTGTAATTCATTTGTCGGGAGTTTGGACTGTCTCGTGGCTGCAAGAAGAATCGGATCGTCTTTCTCGCGGATGGATGGCGCCAGATGCTCTGTACAGCAAAGATGCCAGATCCATAAACGCCGTGATTAGCCCTGAATTCTGCATTACTATCAGTTGCAATTGGTTATTAGCATCATGGGGCGTGGACGTACTTGTAATAGTAGCTTTGCAACGTAGGTTTGATTGTGGACGTATTAACTGCTATAGGGAATACTTGAATCGTACATTCCGTTTAGAACTTCCCGTACATGCTCACCTTGGAGTTTCCCTCTGTTTTCATGTGCCGCGTCAGACATATACAAGAGTTCGAGCACGTACTATCGTCTCGCTAGCGGACTGTTGTACCAGTTCTGTTCCTCGGCTTGAGATCGTCGGAAGGGCTTCTATCGCCAATTGTTCTGTCACAACCCAAACTGTCAGGGGTGTCTGTCAGAGATTAAGGTTGCAAGCATGATGGTGAAGAATGCTGGCTTGACAACTTCAAAATGAACTCAGGACCGCAGGCGTGGGTGGTGGCTAGTGGTGCTAGTATCCCGAGAGTATGTGCATGTGCATCAGCATTAACCTTGTAACCTTGTGTCCCGAAACGCATAAAAGGCGCGATTTTCTTCAATCAAATCCAGCAATATTTGCTTTCAAACTTCTGCTCCCTCACAATGCGCATCTCATCTGTTGTTCTTATATCTGTCGGAATGATGCTGACCGTCATCGGAGTTGCTGCCTCCACAATCGCTGAGGCCTCTGTTGAGAGTGAGTGAGATTGAATTATGAGCTAGCTCCGGTCCCGAGTCTGATGATGACGCGGTAGATGTCCAGCGTGAAGTACCAAGGGAACCAGGAAGGGGAGGATATAATAGGGAAGCGAGAGAACCACTGGGAAGGGGAGGATATAACAGGGAAGCGAAAGAACCATTACAAAAAGGAGGAGGATATAATAGGGAAGCGAGGGGGAGAGGAGGGTACAATAAAGAATGATTATCTTGGAGAAATAGTTGAATACCGAATCCCGCTTAGAGGTGCCCGTAACTTTAGCTTTCCCTGTGCAGGCTGCTGCATCAGATAATGTACATTGATTCGAGCACGTACTATCGCTTCGTGATGGGATCATTGTAATGTAAGCCGTTGAACGTGCTTCGGGTCGTTGAAAGGGCCTAACCGTGGCTATCGCCAGCTGGCAGCTTCAGAGCGCTCGGTCACGACCAAAATGGTTTAAGGATATTTTCCAGTATGATGACAAGCTTGGTGACCTGAGAACATCAAAATGGACTCAAGTCCGCAGGAATAGGCGCGGCCGCGGTCAGGGCAAATGCATTGAGTACGTAAGCTTGTCGCGAAACAAAGAAAGCGGTTCGCCTTCAATCAAACTCAGAAAGAATTTCCTCCAAGTTCTTGTTTCTTCAGAGTCACAATATTTGCGTGTCTCAACTGTTCTTGTATTCGTCGCAATGATGCTGAGCGTCATCTGAGCTAACGCCTCCCCGATTGCTGATACAGAGAGTGAGTGTATTGAGTTATGTGTTGTCTCCGGTTACGGCTCTGATGATGCGATAGATTTCCGGCGTGAAGCTGGTGTGGAAGTAAAGGAAACGTATACTGTCAAGGCATGACTGAGACATGCACGAAACCAAGACGGCATGGTACTGGCAGAATTCTAGATTTGAAGAGGATGTACGTAGTTTTTTTTTCTTCAGAATAGTAACCGCGGTACCTACTCACAGCCTTCACGTGTCACTCCACACGCCAATCCACTGGACATGGCGGTCCTGACACAGCTTGTGCTGCGGAAAGGGTGCTGAGCGCCACTTGTTATTTTTAAGATCAAGCTGTTCGGTCTCACTTCCGTCATGCAACCGTCGGATTACATATAATAGTTGCCTATAGCAACTACAAGGTCCTCATTTGTTTACTACAGCCATGAAGTTGTGTGTAGATCCATACACAGCTTGCATCAGGAATGTAGCATGCATCCACGTTGGCAGTCGAGCGATTAATTGGTATCGAAGTTTCCTTTGTGGTTGTAGCTATGCCAGAGCTGTGTCTGTGACAAGCCGTCGGGGTAGCGCACCCCTAAAGGCACGTGATGGATGAATATAAGAGTGGAGTCGCGCTTGGATACAGTGCTCACTTACTCAACTCACAATTGACCATAACCCCCATCGTATCTCGTATGTCTCAGTCTCAGCTACCCCTGCCAGATGGTTGGATCCAGGAATATGACCCTCAACAGAAGCACCCATTCTGGGTAAGCACCACTGATCTCTCTTATCAGATTCAGTTCTGACCCTTCTATAGGTCGATACAACGGCAAAGCCACCACGAGCAATATGGGTGCACCCCTATGAAGACGAGCAATTCATTTCTGAGAATCCAGATGTCAAAGCAAAAGTAGAGAAGCTTAAAGGAGAATCTTTGGACGATCCCCCTCCGTACGAAAAGCGACGTCATTCATTCAGCGGGGGAGAGGCGGCCGGCCCACTTCACACCAACGCCAAGTCTTCCGGGAGTGCAGTCTCGCCATCAATCGACGAGCGCAATGAGGAGCGAAAGCGCGGCATGTTCGGGAAGCTGAAAGATAAGGCTATTGGTACGAAGGAAGAGCGCGAGGCACACAAGAAGCAAAAAGCTGAAGAACGTGCGCGTGAGGAAGAGCTGCGTCATGAGGCACGGAGACGAAATCTGGAGGAACGTGCTGCGTACATGCAGCAACATGGTGGTTATCCGCCATACGGTGGTTATGGTTACCCAGATTACTCGGGCAGCTCTTATGGTCAGAGTCGGTATGGCCCACCTGCAGGTGACCCATATGGATACAATGACGGTCGGTATGGAAGAGCGTCTGGCAGTCGGCGTGGAGGGTTTGGAGGGGGAATGGCATTACCTTTATTGGGTGGATTGGCAGGTGGACTTTTACTTGGGGATATGCTTGACGGAGGATTTGGCGGTGGCGGAGGATTTGACGGAGGATTTGGTGGTGGGGGTTTCTTTTAATTTTGTTATGATATACCCTTGTATAATATGCATGTCATCGAATGTGGGAACTATGGTACTTTGTATTTTGAGGAGGGACTCGACGTAGCTAGCTACGCATCTTGAAGAGCAACGTGCACGAGCAACTTTCATGGCTAGGGTGCTGCCTTCATCGCTAACCCCGCACATATGCATCCTTCCTTCTCAAGACCTTGAAGAGCTCCTTAAGTCTTCTGCTCTACCTTCCCTGCATCATATATTGCAGTCCTTTTCGCCATTACCACAAGGTCCGTTTGATTATTTTCGACCAACATTATTATTCAATCCCTTCAAAAAGTCACAACCCGCACCACTGCTTTGACCACTGTGCCCCATGCATCATTTGCACTTCGTTT